AAAACCGCTCGATCTAAAATTCGAGTTTCGGGCTGTGCACTGCTAAGCCAAATCTTAGAAAATTCTTAACTTCCTCATACGAAGTCAGATTTGGGCGTTCTTTTTTTGTATGTTCTCGGTTTAACGTATACTACAACTTTTGTTTAGATCACTAAGGCCAAAAAGTCTTTCATCGTAAATTCACTATTTACGCTTCTCGGTGTCGTGCCGGTTTTGCCGTAAAACTTCGACGGGTCATAACTTCTTTGTTATAACTCGGATTTCGGCGTTCTTTATATATCCGGAATCCTTGTTTCCACCACTATAACTTTATGTAAAGGTATCGGGTTTATCTCACACATTAATTTTGACGCTTATTTTATCCTTTATTTATTTTACCTTTATAATTAAGTATAAAGCACATAATTTCACATAATTCACATAATACTCAAATAATTCATCTTTATTATTTCAAAAAGTGTTACAGTAGTTGAATTAGACTATTACATCATCTAATTAATGCTTAGCCCCAAAACACGGGTGTTACACTTAATCTAAGAGTTGATCATCCCAATGGTTCAACTGCTAAAATAGATAAGATTGGAAACATTAATCTTTCAGATTCTATTATGTTATCTGATATCTTTGTTATTCCTGATTTTCATGTCAATCTATTGTCTATTCATAAGATTTGTAAAGAAAATAAGTGCAAAGTTGTTTTTGATGAAAATAAATGTTTGATTCAGGATTCACTGTCAATGGAGACTGTGAAGACTGGTAAAGAATTTGGAGGTCTTTACTATTTGGAAAATCAATTGTTAGATAGGTCAAATTCAGTAATTAATAATCATAAATGTTTTGTATCAAAATTAACATGGCATAATAGAATGAGACATCCAACTGATAAAGCTTTAAATGTTTTAAAACCTTTTTTGGAGTTTGATGATGAGTTAGTTATGTCATGTGATGTTTGCCATAAGGCAAAACAAACTAGGGAACCTTTTCCTTTGAGTGAGCACAAGTCCTTTAGTCTAGGAGAACTTGTTCATTTAGATGTTTGGGGTCCCTATAGAGTTGCTGCTATTGGTGGTTTTAGATTTTTTCTCACTATTGTGGATGATTTTACTAGAGCTACATGGGTTTTTTTTATAAAGTCTAAAAATGAAGTGTTTGGTTGTTTTCATGAATTTGTTATGTTACTGGAAAACCAGTTTAATGTTAATCTAAAGGTTATTAGATCTGATAATGGAACAGAGTTTGTTAATCTAAAAATTAAAAGTTTTCTTGAATCTAAAGGTGTTATTCATCGGACTTCATGTGTACACACTCCATAACAAAATGGAGTGGTATAACGCAAGCATAGACACTTATTGAATGTTTAGATCTTTATTGTTTCAAGCTGGTTTGTCTAAAAAATTCTAGGGGGATTCTATTTTAACTGCTGTTTTTTTAATAAATAGAACCCCATCTCCTGTTCTAAATGGTACAACTCCTTTTGAATTAATCTATAAACGTGTTCTAGTGTATGATAAAATTCGTGTGTTTGGATGTTTAGCTTTTGCAACTAAGTTAAACATTACTGATAAATTCTATGAACGTTCTGAGAAATGTGTTCTTATTGGTTATTCTAATGTTAAAAAAGGTTACAAGTTATTTAGTCTTGATAATGGTTCTTGTTTCTTTTCCAGGGATGTGAAATTTTATGAGTCAGTTTTTCCTTTTAAGTTGGCTTCTAAATCAAATGAAGTTTCTCAATTTTTTGAGACAACTTCTTTGAATAATAAGGATCCATGGGATCCATTTTCCAATGATGAACTTTTGTTTTCTGAAAATTTTGATGATAATCAAAATTGTGGAGTATCAAATTGTAATAGTCAGGATGGTGATACAGTTGTTGATCAATCATCAGGTGCAACTGATTTAGGTATTGATGGTAGTCCTAGCTTAGATGCAACTATATCTCATCAGGAAGGTACTCTTGGTTGTGAAAGTTCTGGTTCGCAACCTGAGACTGTTGCATTGGATCCCACTAGTAGTTCTGAGGAAAACCTTAATAATAATAATTCTATTTATGATTCTCAGTTTATAGGGGTTAGAAAATCTACTCGTGAGTCTAGATTTCCTTAAAAATTTAATGATTTTGTTATAGAAGGAAAGTATAAATTTGGAATTGAAAGTGCTGTTAATTATTCTTTTCTTAGTCTTGATAACAAATGTTTTGCAACCAATTTAAATAAGACGATAGAACCACAATCTTATTATCAAGCATCCTTGGATCCTAATTGGGTAAATGCTATGAATGAAGAAATTGAAGCTTTGTATAGAAATAATACTTGGGAAATTTGTGATTTACATGCTGATAGAAAACCCATTGGTTGTAAGTGGGTGTATAAAATAAAGTATAAATCTAATGGTGAAGTAGAGTGATTTAAGGCAAGGCTTGTAGCTAAGGGTTATAACCAAAGAGAAGGGATAGATTTTGATGAAATTTTTTCACCTGTTGCAAAAATGGCTTCAATCAGGATTGTTATTTCTCTTGAAATTAATTTTAATTGGAGTTTATTTCAATTAGATATCAACAATGCTTTTCTTTATGGTGAGTTGGATGAAGATGTTTATATGTCATTACCTCTTGGTTATAATGATAAAAATAGTAACAAAGTTTGTAAGTTACTAAAATCTCTATATGGGCTAAAACAGGCTCCTAGAAAATGGAATGAAAAATTATGTGGTTTTTTACTTGAGTTTGGATTTGTTCAAAGTATGAATGATTTTTCACTATTTGTTAAAATTTCTAATGGTACTATTGTTATATTACTTGTATATGCTGATGACATAATTTTTGAGTAGTAATTGTGATGATGAAATTAACAAGGTTAAAAAAAATTTGAAATCCAAATTTTTAATCAAAGATTTAGGAAAATTAAAGTTTTTCTTAGGAATTGAAGTTATAGATATCAATAAAGGAGTATTTTTGTGTCAAAAGAAATATTGTACGGAATTATTACATGAATTTGGTATGTTGAGTTGTAAACCAGTTAAAACTCATTTGGATTGTAATGTTGTAATTAGAGGAGAAGGCATTGATAGTAATGATGTGCTTATTCAAAATGTTGTTCTTTTTCAAAAATTAAATGGAAAACTCATTTATTTGACCATTACCCATCCAGATTTTTCATATGCTGTACAGGTATTGAGTCAATTTATACATTCACCAAGGAAATCTCATTTTAATGTTGCTATAAGGTTACTTAGATATTTAAAGTTAAATCCTAGAAAGGGTTTTTCTGTTACAAAAGGTAATCTAAATTTAAAGAGCTTTGTTGATGCTGATTAGGCTAAGTGTTTAGTGTCTAGAAGATCAGTTACAGGTTATGTAGTTTTTCTTGGTGATACTATTGTATCTTGGAAAAGCAAGAAACAAGATATTGTTTCTAGGTCCTCTACTGAATCAATCAGAGTATAGAGGACTTGGTGTAATTTCACGTGAAATTATGTGGATTTTGAAGATATTGTTTGATGTTGGGTTGAAAGATCTAACACATGTTTCTATATTTTGTGACAATGAGTCTGCTATAAAGCTTGTTCATAATCCAGTATTTCATGAAAAAACAAAACATTTTGATGTGGACACTCATTTTATAAGGGACAGGGTGTCTAAAGGTGTTGTTGAAGTTCATAAAGTAAGTTCAGATTTTAATCTGGCAGATATTTTTACTAAACCATTGGGTGTTGTTCAACATGAGTAGATTTGTAAAAATCTAGGGCTTGTTGATCCTTTCCAGAATAAGAGTTGAAACTAGTTTTGAATTATAAGTTTGCGGAGGGGTGTTGAAATATATGGATTTAATATAACAAACTTATAATTCATTGTATCCTTTTGAGTATCCTTTAATGTCTTAGTTTATTATATATATATATATATATATATATATATATATATATATATATATATATATATATATGTTTGCTTGTGTTTATTATGATTTTGTGCAGGAGGATATATAATGTACAGTTTGTATAAATGTTGGGCTGGAATAATGATATGGTGAAGATATATAACATGCGGGTTGTCTTTGATCCATATTATTGATCAGTGACCCGATTGACTTGTCAATGCTATAAATAAGTTGTTATGTGTGAGAACTGTGGGTGTGACGCATATTTTTCATTGATATCTTCTTCTTTCTCTCGTCATTAGGGTTTTCTGTTCATAGTCTTAATCTTTTGTTCTTAATCATTCTTTCATGAGGTGTGTAGATTAGATGAGTGAATTGTAGTGAGGTTTTATGTAGAGAGAAGAGAGTTTATGTAGTGAGGTTTTGATTTGTAAGTATTCTTGAAAACCTTCTGGCTCTTAATAAATAAGAGTTGTTGATGTTGTATATTCTTGTGTTTGACTTTCTTTTGAAATATCATGAGGTAAACCGTTCCCCAACCATTTGGCATTCATCTCGGGGACTAATAACACCCTGTTATATGGTCGTTCTCATGCCACTTTATAGCATAACCAAAAACCATAAACTGAACTAATATGATCAGTTGTTTTGTCTAATGCTACCCAGTACAAGTACAATAATGTCATGGTAAACTTTTCATGCTCTATAAGTTTATGTACTAGAATAACTTAAAGCAAACTGGAAGTTGGTTTGGGGACGAGTACACATTGGAACCCAATATATTTTATGTTTTGAATTGAAGGCAACCATCTTCCATAATAAAGTAAATAGGCAATCCTAGAATATGATACATTATGTTGGAGTTTATTTGGTATACGTTTTTTAAATTGACATGCACATGGGTCCAATTCAAACTGAGATCTAATGGTTTATTTATCACGATAATTAACTACAAAGATGAAGCAATACTGATTGAATTCCAGCCCAAGCTAGCCAAGTGTCTAATGATCTAATAAAACAATTATACAACTAATATCTTGTAACACAGCCGCCTCAAGAATAAAAGGCTTCTTTATTACTACTGTTTCACTTAAAAGGAGAGAACAACAACAACATGCCACCTCAGATATTTTGAAGGGTATCCAGAATATGCCGCAACTCATGCAGAGCATTTTCAATATTCATTCGTTGTTGTGGGGAATCCACAGAGCACGATACTCCAATCTTGACAATTGAAGATAGACATTCCTCTGTTTTCTTTGCATTTTCTAATGTACATTGTGTAGCAATAGCATTTTCTTGAAGAAAATGTACGAGGTCATCAGCAACAACATCGGTGACATGGTCCAGTAAGGCCATGAAATCAAACTTATGAAGGTTAAGACCTTCGGTAAAGATGTTGTCTGTGGGCCTTTTCCCTGTTATCACCTCCAACAATAGTATTCCAAAACTGTAGACATCCCCACTACTCGCCATCTCACTCCCACCACCATACTCTACAACATATAAGCAATTACTTTAGAAAATGGTATATACAAATATGAGCGTGTGGGGATACATCATGAACTTAATTACCTGGAGCTGCATACCCAATTGTTCCTCTGATCCCACTTGTGCTGTTTTGGTTTGTATCTGTTCCAAGAAATCGAGCTAAACCAAAGTCTCCAACATGGGCCACCATGTCATCATCGAGTAGAATGTTGCTAGGCTTCAAGTCACAGTGAACAATGGCTGGTAGACAGTGATTGTGAAGATAATCAAGTGCAGATGCAACATCTATAAGAATACTTATTCTTTGAAGAAGGTTCAGTCTTGATGTGCTTGCATGTAAATGCAGCCAATCATGTAAACTACCATTAGGCATGAACTCGTATACGAGAGCTTTGAAGTCATTTCCTTGAAAGTCAACACTTGAACATGACGTTATTATCTTCAATAAATTTCGATGTCGAATACTCTTCCATGCTTCACATTCTGATATAAAACTTTTGTGAGCACCTGGGTTTTGAAGATGTATAACTTTGACTGCGACAAGAGTATCCTCATGATCAAGGATTCCTTTGTATACAGAGCTGAAGCCACCCTTGCCAATCAAATTGGCTTCAGAGAAGTTGTTGGTAGCCTTGAGAAGTTGATTGTATGATACTTTGATGAATCGTTCGTCCGTTGATGATTGAGACGGTTGGCCCTTCTTTTTCTTGCACCAAACATACACAAAACATAATACCATGAAAAGTGGGGATGCAATCAAAATGATTACTAGGAACAAAGGAAACCTTTTGTTATGTTTCTTTTTCTCCTTGCATTTGAGCAACCCAAGCTCAGCCAAGCCACCACAAAGCCTACTATTCCCCAAAACAGAGAATGCACTTGCATTAGCAAACACTCCTATCCCTGGGACTTCACCCTCAAAATCATTAAATGATAAGTTTACGTATTCTACTACTTTCAACCGTTCCAAGAATGGAGGAATTTGGCCTGATAAGTTATTATTAGAAAGATCGAGTGTTGAAATACCTCTCAAGAAACCTAATGATGGTGGTACAGTCCCCTGGAACAAGTTACCTTTGAGGGATAAGAGTAAAAGGCTAGTGCAACCACCAATGCTACTAGGAATGTTACCTGAAAATCTATTATCAGATATATCCAGAGAAGTCAACATCTTGAGGTCACCAACCTCTTTTGGAAGCGACCCAGACATGTTATTTTGAGAAAGCCCTAATGCTATGTTTAGAGATGAAAGTTGAAGAAGTTGTTTAGGTATGTTGCCGCTGAGTTTGTTTTCATCAAGGTACAACTCTGATAGTTGATGACAATTTCCTAGGCTTGATGGAACAAGCCATTCCAATCCATTGGTACTTAAATCAAGTGTAATTAACAAGGATAAGTTCCCAATGGCATCCGGAATTGGCCCTGAAAATTGGTTGTCAGACAGATCACCAATTTGTAGTTTTCTAAGTTTACCAATGGTGGAGGGGATTTTTCCCGTGAATCGGTTATAGTCTAAAGCTAAAATGGTCAAGCCTCCTAGATTACCTATACTTGAAGGGAGGTTTCCATATAAATGATTTCCCCGTAAATTTAGGAATCTGAGTTGATGAGAAAGATTACCAATTGATTCGGGCAGATGTCCCTGAAAGTTGCAATAACTAAGATCCAACTTGTCTAATTTGCTGCAGTTTTGCAAAGTATCAATAAACTTCATATCATCCCCTTCATGGAATCTATACATGTTATTACCGAGGTTTATAAAATTGATATCTTTTAGTGTTGCAAAGTTGATTGTCAACTTCCCACTAAAACTGTTGTCACTCACTTCAAGACGTCTTAAATTCGAACAATTAGATATCGAGGATGGAAGAGAACCAGTGAGTTGGTTATCCCGTAATTGAAGTAATAGAAGATGAGGGAGCATTACACCTAAGGCTGATGGAAGGCTACCAGTAAGCTGATTCACAGCCAAGGAAATATTAGTTAGGAGTGAGAGGTTATAAATGGAATGAGGGATGGTTCCAGATAAGCTACAATTACCACAGTAAAATATTCTTAAGCTTTTCCAACGACCTAAGGTGTCTGGAATGCTTCCACCAAACGGATTGTTGGCAGCAGAGAAGGATTCCATTGATGTTATATTCCCCAAGGCAGCCGGGATTCCACCTGTTAAGTTATTAGTATCAATATGAAGATAAGTAAGTTTGGAGAGGAAACTGAAGTCTTTGGGTATGCTTCCAACTAGCTTGTTATCATAAAGTGCAAGCAATTCAATGTTAGAACAACTAGACAAGTTAGTTGGGATGACTCCGTTGAACCCGTTAGAGCCAAGATTGAGGCGACGTAGCCTGGATAGACGACCAAGTTCATGAGGAATCCTTCCTATAATGCTGTTGTTCTTGAGAGAAAACACACCAAGGAAGCTGAGGTTGCCTACATGAGGAGACAACCAGCCTTGTAGGCCTTGCGACTCCAGTACTAAAGCAGTCACTCTTCTGTGGCGTTTCCCACATGAAACACCACTCCAATTACAGAAATGAAAGGAAGCGTTCCATGAGCTTAGAGCTTCTTCATTGCTGATCATCGACTTGAACCCCAACAACGCCTCGTAATCCGTCTCATTGGAAGCAGAGATGGTTCGGGTAATCACAAATGTCACAAGACTAGAAAAGAGGAAAGCAACAGGAAACTTCATATTGGAACTAGTTCTTGGCATTACACGGAAAACTGGAGTTAATTAGCTTTTATATATTTATCGATTATTATATGATCAACCAATTATATAAAGTAGGTAAAGCTATCATTAATGTATGAATTATTGAGACAGAGACTACAAAACTTCAAACCCAGAGAAGAGATATAAAACATCTATTTTTATTACGCTTTCCCATGACTCCAAAAAATTGACAATAAGTTTTCCCTCCATTTCTTTGAGTAAATTACAATTTTAATCCATGTGGTTTTTACGAATCAAGTCCATTTTTTTTTTCAGTTTTCACCTTAGCACTCCCTAAAACATTTACTTTTTGTCACTCATTTGGTCGTTGTTTAATTTTTGCAGTTAAAACCGTATGAAATTACAATTATACCCTGGCTTACATACATCGCCGGCTGCTCCTTTTCAACCAATTACCTCCACCGCTCCAGCAATATGTCCTGTATGTGTTTGACCATGGGTTTTTGTAGCTCGATTGAAACTCACTGCATAAAAACTGCCATCAATCTAATAAAAGAAACAAAGTGAAATCCAAACTGATGGAAAGGTGCACATCTGAATCGATGGAAGGACGGAAATCGCTTGATACAAAAGACACCAGCTACTTTTATTATCAATCAAAACTGATAATTAATAATATTAAAATTAAGTGTACAATAGTAATTTCAGTGGTTTTAACAGTCAAACCCAGTGACCATATAGGTGACCAAAAAAGGTGTTAAAACTAATAAACTGGACTTGATTTGTAAAAAACTAAAAACTACAGGGATAAAAGTTGTAGCTTAGTCTTGGAACAATCTTAATTATTGGATTCCATCCTGAGAGCAGCCGGCACCTCAAGGGGCTTTTATAGCAGCATGCACTGTGAAAGCGACATAAAGAGTTTTCGTCATGTATTTATGATCGAAAAATAGCAACCTACTTTTGTTATAGAAAATAGCAATCTGCTTGCTGGAGCTGCTTGCCAATCAATCCGTTGTTGTTCCAGGTGGGCCACTTAAGCTACTCTGTCATGACTCATGAGACATAATGAAGAGTTTAGTGAATTTATGATCACCGTTCACCTTTCAACAACAGAAAGCGTTATTGCAAGGCTAGCTTATCCAATGGGTCCCAAATCTTTGTTAAAAATAATTCTTTTTTTGTTTATATTATCACCTTTGATTATTTAATTTACTTTTTTATATCAATTTATTATTATATATTTATATTTATATATAAAAGATTATTTCATTTATACGTTATTAACATTTTTAAATAACTTCTATATCAAAAAACAAATTAATTAAACCACAATAATATAAAATCGGCATACTTTAAAACAAAATGTAGACATATAAATTTAATACAACAATAATTAAGTAAACAGGGAGTACTATGACCTACATGATAAAATCAGGTTGATGTTCGTTTAAGAGCATATTGTATATTTTAATAATTATTTATTATTTAAATTATTAAAACTAAACCATGTAAAAATTTTATTACTAACAAATTAATTATATGTATCTAAAATATTTTGTTAAAAGGTATATAAAATAGTTGTTAATTTAACAGTATGGACCATTCTTTTTTTTTTTTTAAAGTATTGCTATTAGACTAATGTGAAGATAATCGAAAAAATTAATATGACATAAATGAAAGACTAAAAATTGCACTAATATTGATAAACTTAGTGTCTTTCTCACCAAATCATAACTAAATTTGTGGTAATAATATTATTTTTTTGTCTAATTACATGAAATCTTAACTAAATGTGATATTTAAGTTTCATTTACACTGTTATTTTTTATTAGAGCGCTAACACACATACCCACTATCTTACTCTTAAATCTATATATTTTTGTCTCCAACGAAACTTAAACCATCAACCTTTGGCTGATGTGTACATTTCTTTCAGTTCATGATACCGTTAGACTATAAGCCTTTTGGTCATTTACAATGTTATTAATAAGGTTTTGCAAACTAAACTAATTTTTCTAAATGTTCAAAAGTCAAATATATATCTAAAAAGTGTATAATAACCAAATGTTGATTAAAAATATAATATTATCTAGAATAAATTACATAAATAACTCATATGATTTGGTCAAATGTTAATTGAAAATATAAATATAAATTATTTAATTGATACATTACTTAAAAATTTAAATACTTGAAAACAAAATATAGACATATAAATTTATTATAAATACATAAACTAGAAAATACAATGACCTAATTATAACTAATAAAAAATATTAGTGTTCGTTTAACAGCATATTATCTGTTTTAATAATTAATTATTATTCAAAATTTCAAAACTAGTTATTGTTAATATTAAAAACTGAATAACAATTACTCATATATAACTAAAATTTGTTAATAAGTATATAAAATAGTTGTCAACTTAATAGAGGTGATCACTTCTAAAAAACTATTAGTATTGCATTTGTGTGCGGACAATTGAAAAGTTGATTTGACATAATTGGATTAACATAATTGTAAAACTAGATATTGCATATAGTAAGATTTTTACCTCGAAAAATTACCGTGAGCAAAAAAATATTAGTATTAACATAATTGGATTAACATAATTCTAAAAAAAATATTAGTATTGCACTTAAAATGCACTTGTGTTGACTTGTTTTTCTAAAAGCCAGCTACATTTGGTCTATGTTTGACTCCTGAACTCATAAAGGCTTGTAAGTGTTTTCTAGCCAAGGATGCTTTTTTCTTAGCTTCAAGATACGTTGATATTGCATGAGAATATGCACAAAATGGGCATAAAAACTTTCCATTTTTGTCAAGTGTGGTAGTAGTAGATCCCAAACAGCTCTCGTGAACTCTTAATCGACAGGTGTCAGAACTACAAACTAACAACTGACTACCTTTGTTACACTTCATACAAAGAGTTATTTCAGTGGATTCAATTGTAGCGATGGAATCTTGACTCGGTGTATGTTGAAAGTTGAAGAAAGCTTCTTTCATGGCAGCAATATTAGTCATTTCATCATATCACATTTCTCACCATTTGTATTTCCATCATCAGATTTCTCACCGGTCAACTCTTGTTGACCATGGTCAATATTCAGATCATCACAATTCTGGTCATTTTGATCCATCAACGTGTTTTCCTCTAAGCCTTTTTCAGGGGCTTCTTTAGGCATTTCATTTTATTTTCTTTGACTATGCTCTATATTTCCTCTAGTGGAATTGTTTATATCATCAGGTTTCTGCAACGGGCTTTTTGGTAATTTGTTGCTTTCGTTTCCAAGATTCATTGATGCCAAATCATCCTTAGATACTGTAGTTTGGTCATTAAAATGGACATTGACCTCAGGGAATGTATTTTGACTATTTTCAGGTAGATTTATGCCTTCAAAATAACTCCTCTCTTTCAATGATGCAAGAAGTGGGCGACTGCCTTCAAGAATTTCTTCCTTAAGCTGTTTAATTATACAAAATATAAACTTTTTGATAATTTATGATAAATATGCATAAAAAAAGATATTATTTATGACAAAGCCAATTCTCTTGAAGACTACATCCATAGATCTAGGGGATATAACATTGCTATGCATGATCCGTTGTACTCTACTAAGAAGCTCCACTGCATCCGGCGCAAGGAAACCAAATGTATCAAATGCAAAAGGTATGAACACGTGTTGATTTTCCATGCACGCTTTCTCATGTGTGGTGACCTTACATGTAGCAGCTTTTAATGCAGTCTGTCCCGTCGTAAAACCTCCGACTCTCAAGCCTACGAGAGGGGATACCCCCTATAAGGTCCACACATGCATGTTTCCCTCCAACCCATCCAAAAATCAAAACATCATCTGGTATAAGGGTTGACCTTCCTTTTGTTGGGTCAGTCAGGAAATTCACAGGAGCCACTTTTGTAACACCCCGTGACTTGAGGTAATAATAATAATTTAATTTCCTTATAATTAATTGTTGGACTTTGAGATTAAGGATTGGATTATTGAGTTAGGCCTTAAGTGAGTGGGCCGATAGTTAGTGGGCTATCCGAAGACGTACGATGGGCGTAAGCTTGGCGTATGCGGGGGCGTAGTGCAACATTGGATGCGAGGAGTTCATGCGCGTACGCGCAGCGTACGCGAGCAGACTCCAAACCCTAATTTTTAGGGTTTAAGCCATATAAATACAACATTAACTCCCAAACCTTAGCCTCATTACCAGCCTCTCAACCTCAGAAACCCTAGATAGCCTTTCATTCCTCATCCATGTGTATTTTTGGCCTTGTGAAGCTCATTGTGGTGTTTAGAAGCTTGGAACGAGAAAGAAGAAGTTGAAGAAAAAGAACTTGAGTAGCTTGAGCTCAAGGATCTGAGATAACATCACCATTTAGCACTCATTTGAGGTAAAAAGCTCTCAACTTGCCTCATGTATGTTTAGATCTATGTTAATGGTGTTTTGGACCTCTTTAGGTCCCAAGAATGGATTTTTATGGTTCAAATTCGTTTCTAAGCTTAGGGTTGCCACCCTTACTGCTAAATAAGTCCCAAGAACAGAAAAGTTTCAATCTTGAAGGTCTTTTTGTGACCATGCATGAGTTCTAGTCCTTTCCATGGAAGTTAATATTCATATTTCAAGTTTGGGTCCATTTGGTGGGTTGCAAGCCACCAAGTAATCGACTTTATGGGTTAAGACACTTCAGTGGACTCAGATCTGTGTTTGGAGCTTAAGGTCTTAAGGGATTAAGCCCTTTTGAATTTTATGGCTTAACAGGGTAGTATGTTGGGCGTACAAGCCCGTACGTGCAGCGTACAAGCCATGCAGCCTGTACGCTTAGCATACAGAGGAGTACGCCCCGTGTACTCACTGGATTTAGGCTTTGCGTCATTTAGGCCTCGGTTTGGGCCATTTCATGGACTTTACTACTTTGGGCCATAATAGGCCATCAGAAATTATTTAGTTTGGGCTAAGAATATGTTGGGCTTAAAAGAAGGCGCATTTGAGGAGTTGGGCCCAATTTAGAAAATTAGGCCATTGTTGGG